GATGCGCTCCGTGATCGACATCTGCCAGGAGGTCATCAAGCAGTCCAATGTGCAGATCCTGGTGCCCCCCACGCGTCCCGACATCATGCTCTTCCGTCCGGGGGCTGCCGACCTTGGCTTCCCTCTTGACATGACCAACGGTGCCGCTTTGGCGCCCAATGGCAACGGCATCGCCGGCATGCCTGAAGATGAGGCCACGCGGGCTGCGCTCACCGCTGCGCAGTCCTCCCTGCCTGTTCTGCAGGGCGTGGACCGCCTGCCCATGGTGGCAGGACCTCTGTCCCCACCGCTGCTGGCCTCGCCCTTCCAGAACGTTGCCGCTAGTGCCCCCACTTTAGGCACCAAGAGGGGCAGAGGGCGTCCCCGTAAAGCAAATCTCTTGGACTCCATGATGTTTGGTACCCCGGGAGGCCTGCGAGAGGCTGGTATCCTGCCTTGTGGTCTCTGTGGGAAAGTATTTACGGATGCTAATCGTCTTCGTCAGCATGAGGCTCAACATGGGGTGACAAGCTTACAGCTGGGATACATAGACATCCCACCCCCAAGACTGGGTGAAAATGGTATCCCTGGTCAGGATGACCCCGATGCGCCCCGAAAAAGAAGCAGGACGAGGAAACAGGTGGCCTGTGAAATCTGTGGCAAGATTTTTCGGGATGTGTACCACCTGAATCGGCACAAGCTGTCACACTCTGGCGAGAAGCCTTACTCTTGTCCAGTGTGTGGCTTACGGTTCAAGCGGAAAGACAGGATGTCCTATCACGTTCGATCTCACGATGGCTCTGTGGGAAAGCCCTACATCTGCCAGAGCTGTGGAAAAGGCTTTTCCAGGTAAGAGAGTACTTGTAACGACTGTAGACACAAACGGAGACCTGGGAAGTTGTCTTTCCTATCCCTTGGGAAACAAGAACAGTTTGTATGTAGGCTAGTTTGACTGCTCCATTTAAAAATGTCTTGAGAAATGAGACTTCCATCATTTCCACTGGGATGCTGTTCTACAGTCTCTTGAAAGGGTTGAAAAGTAATTAAGACGTAGAACCGGGAGTCAGCTGGCTTCTGGGCAACATTCCCCGCTTTGTCCCCGGCTTGGTGTATGCGTGTCCTTGGGCAAATCAGTCAGTCTCTCCCTCAAATGGCTCTTCTGTGAAATGGGTATTGCAGTAATTACCTGCCTCGCAGAAGTGTCTGGAGGCTACTGATTTGTAGGTAGTTTGAAGGTGCTGTTGAAGTGCAAAATATTAATACATCTCAAGATTATTATTTTTCTCGTATCCATTTTAAATTTTCTTTTTCTTAACTTCCCTTCGTTTCTCTTAGTTCGTAATGTTTTTTATCACCCAAATGTGAAGGAAGAGGTGAGATTTCAAAGGCTGCAGCATCAAGTATCTTTTAATACATGATCTTTGTGTCCTTTGGGTTTACATCCTTCTGAAGGGGATCCTGTTTCTGCCCTGCAACATACGTAAGATCTGTGCATTTAATGTTGCTGATTTTTTGTTGTCGCTGTTTGTGGGAGTTAATTTAATAAGTAGTTTGATACACGTAGTCGTGTTAGTGGTATCTTATAGTCTGAGTTAATGCATTTGAAACTTTTTTGGACATTTGATGCTCGCTTCGAGACTAGCAGGAGTGGGGGGAGGGGGATACGTACGCGCAGGAGTCGGTTTTCTACAGTACTTGGTTTGCTCGAACTGGAGAGAAGGAAGCAAGCAAATCAAAAGGCTGCTAGGGCTAGATTTGTCCCAGCTATACAAAGGTAGGAATCATGCCCCGCTAGCTCTCTTTTTGATAGAGGGACTTCTTGTTACTGAAATTAATTAAGAAAATGTAACTTTTTTTTTAAATCGGCAGTAATTAGGGATGCATTTTCACAAGGACTGCAAATTCGGTGATGGAAAGCCATAAAGTGAAAATTTCATCTGTAGCTAGAAGGGAAAGTATTTTTATTATTGTAGTGCTACCTGGGATCATTGCCAATTTTCAGTATTTTTATTCACACTTGAAGATTTCTGCTGTTGCTGTATGAAAGGGAGGGTGAAATGTACATGCTGAATTCTCATTTTTCCCAGAAAGTTAATGTGAACAAGTAGGAATGCTGTCATAAAAGTAAACAACAAAAATGTCTACATATTTATGTAGAATCAAAGTATGAATGCAAAGCAAAGACTCTGCGTTTCATTACTGAGTCGTAGGAGCAGCCAGAGGAAGTTGGAAGCCTGCTGTCTACTTTGAGCGCACACTCCTTTCAGCAGCGCAGCACGTGAGGTTGCTAGGCTGGGGGTACCCCGAAAGACCCCCAACCAGTCGTTCCGGTTACACCGCTCCAGCCCACTTGCTGGAGCATCAGGTTTAACAGCCTGACTGCAAAGTTCAGTCTATTTTCTCTCTGCAGTGCGTGAATTCCATCCCCTCGCCCTCCCATTGGCGCAGCTGGAAAGTTGGGGGAGGAGAGGGCGGAGAACTTGTTTCCAAGCAGTTTTGGCCTCATACAATGAAAAGCTTTCTTCCCATTAGGAGAAACTCCCACCAGGAAAATCTGCAGCTATTCCCTCCTCTCTTCTTCAAAATAGGCTTTACTGATTGTGAAGGATGATCAGACTTTTTTTTCAGTAATAATTTGCTCTTCCATTGCACCTTCTAGTCGGGACCTTCAGAGTGCTTTACTTGTATCAATGCAGTCTCCCCACCAACTTGGGAGTTAGGACAGGATTTTTTCATCTTGCTGGTGGAAGATGTGTCACAGCAACAGAGTTTAGAGTCAGTCTTTTTGCACAGAGGTGCTTAAAGTTGGCTTCTTACATCCGTGTTTGGGACATAAACCAAAAGGGTCTGAATTTCAAATATTCAGCAACTGTAAATTAAAATGCCCTGAATTTCAAGATCTAAATAGGATTTTGGAAGGGGATATGCAGGCTTGAGAATTGTAGATTGTATTTCCTGTTTTCTCTGATCATTCAGTCATAATTTCTTCCTGACAAAATGCTGCTTTTTTAGCAAGTTGGAGAGGGTTCTTATCAAGGTAGAATCCCAGCTGTTGGTGATCTGGTTCTTGGAAAGTTAAATATTGCTGCATTTGTAATAGATCCACCACGGGGATCTTATATTTTCTTTTTTTTTTCCTTTCTTTCTTTTTTTTTGAATGGTAAGTTTCTTTTTAGTATTTGTTTTAAGTGTGTTTATGTGTATTTTGTTTTAAGGCCAGACCACTTGAATGGACACATCAAACAGGTGCATACCTCAGAGAGACCTCACAAGTGTCAGGTAGGAACTGGAGGGGTTTAGACCAATGTATGGGTAATCTTTGGCATTGCATTTATGTGTGCAGAAAATTATGAAGTATCAGTAAAAATATCATGTATGTGTGAATTGGGATAAATGTTTGTAAATAACTGTTCAACAGTGACAGCGGCTTTATATCCCTCCTGACCGCCAGCCCCTTTTGTCATCTACAGCTTTGGTCCTCCTGTCTTCCTCCCCTTCTCCCAGATCTTCTTCCCTGCTGCTCTGTCCCGATCTCACCCTGGATCTCTCACCCAGCCACCCTGTCCCTGGGCTTAGAGTCAGGTGACATTGTCTCTTTGCCACCTTTTTTTTTATTATTATTGCAGTTGTTGCCAACAGGAGGCTCCAATGTAGACTTCATTTTTATTTTTTTTTAAGAATAATTTCAAGTAGGACTGGTAAATTATCATAACTTGCCAAGATGTTTTTTTTGTTTTCTTTTTTTAAATCACATAGCCTTCAGAACATTGCACTGAGCAAAACTGGAAGCTTTTTTCTTTATCCCAGGGAGAATATAAATAACAGCATCACAGTATCCTTTGTAATACAATGTCATAATGTTGTGTATAGTTTTTAGAGTTAATAAATTATTCATTAGAGTTTGAAAGATCAAATCAAGAAAGGTATTTTGTAATTCATTTGTAGAGAGATTGAAAAGGTACCTGGAAGTATTAATTAAAACCAAAGTTTGGAATCAGCTTCCACTGTCATCTGTGGCCTTCACATAGTTGTTGGGCAAACTTCTAAAATGTTGGTTGGGCTAACAGTCTTCATGCTTGGTCACTGAAGAAAGGTTTATTTAGTTACCTATTTGAAGAAAGTTGGGCCAAGATAATTTTCACTTTCTTTGAAGACAGTGAAAGTTTGAGGATTTTCTGCTAAAATTTTTAACCACATTTTCTGAACCTAGTCAGTCCTACATGACTACTGCTTCCTGACCTGTGTTTTTTTCCCCATCTCTTGACACACCTCTCCTATGTTTCCTCCAAACTGTGAGAGTTTTGAAACGTTTTATTAATTTGAAACACTGACAACTTTTAGAATCCAGTGAGCAGTTTTTCAGACATACGGCATCTTCTCAAGGTTTTTGTTGACCTCCATATGATCTGTGTAAGCTCAGCACCTTTGAAAATTAGGCCATAGAGCCTTCACATTGATTTAACTGCCTATCTTATATAAAGCCTTAGATTGGTTTAAGCTTCTTAAGATTATTTGGGGGTTATAGATTTATCTAAATTGGAAAATTCCGCTCATAAAAAGATTTCACAGTTTGGGTATAGCAAGGGGTCTGGGTGGATGAACTGAAGATGACTACAGTTTTTTCCATAAGCATGTATTTGTGTGCATATGAATGTTTGGGTCCCAACATAAACAGAAACTCATCAGTCTTTTGCCAGTTGATATCAAGATTACTGAATGAACAGTTTATCAGTAATGTTGATAGACATCAATTGTCCTTTGCCAGCTGTAGATTTCTGATTGATTTAAGAATATTAAATATAAACTCTAAGTGAGACTCAGAGGATACACTAAGAGCTAGAAGGTAAAGAAATATGGAAGCTAAGATTGTACAGCAAGCTCAGCTCCTCCTCTTTGCACACATGTATTTTGTGGTAGCAATTTCTAAGAGTAGTCTTTCTCATCATGTGGTGTTTAAAGTGCCATAATACTGTATGCACTGTTCATTTCAGTTAAAAGCTATTGACTGTAGTTTACAAGCATCAGGACAGAGTTGAGGTTGTCATTCAGGCTTGGTTTGTTCGTGATTTTTGACTGTTTAACCTCACAAAGTTAATTTTTCATGAATCTTGAGGTGTAGAAAATTTATTAAAGAGCTGTTGTGTGTCATTGCAAAAAATACTTCATAATACCCTGTAAGAATTATAAAGTCTTCTTAAATATGCACAGATCTGATATACAACATACAAACCATGAAAGGGATGCTGTCACACTGAAAATTTGTTTCAAATCTGAAAGCTGGTGTATAAACTGATAAAGTTCACTTTGTGATTATCTCGTAACCAATAACACTTCTGTTCCCTGACGTGTATCTGAACTCAGAATCTGACCACTAAGAAGGAAAACAGCTTAATATGGACATGTTGTTTCACCATTTTCCATTATCATTTTCCATTGGTTTTGTTTGGCAAATAGCTCCTCATGAGAGTAGCCTGAACAGCATTGAGCATCCTTTCTGAATCTTTTGAGTTCCTGTTGAAATTCCTGTTATTGTTGTGCTTTGCTTATGTTTACTGCAAAAGAGAAGTATTCTATCAGTAAACAGAAAAGCTTTCCAGGATCCTGTCGTAATGGCATTCTTGGAAGTGGTGCTCTCTTGCAATTTAAACAAAATCCACTGGCTATTTACCTAAGCCCTTGTGTATCTTTGCAGACCAGTGGATACCTAATGTTTTCTTGATGTAGCATTGTGATACATTTTGGACTGCCAAAACAAAAAAGTGAAGGTGTCAACCCAACTTCAGAATAAATCAAATGAAACTATGAGAAGCAGGACAATTGTAAGCTGAACATCACTGCAACAGCTATAGTTTTCAGTGCTCAGCATGTAATCCTGCTCTTATCCCCCTAAAATAATGGTTGTGCTTCACAGATCTTTGAAAAACACTCCTAAGTTCCAGCACCTGTAGCACCCGATGCCAAACAAAAACCTGATTCCAGCTTTTTCATTACTGTTAAAGTAGACTCAGAATAGGGAAGGCCTCCACAGAGTCAAGGCAGCTGAGAAATCTGATCCAAGAAGTTGCTGTGGTGTCCAGACAAGACACCAAATGGCACTCTGGATCTTTTTCCCTGGATTGCTGCACTGGTGGTTTCTATATATTTTTTTTTAAATCAGACAGTTGAGTAAGGAGATGATGTAGGAGAAGGGTTACCCCTTCTTCTACGGTCAGTTTTCTGGCCGTAATGATAGCTCAGTTTGCTGACTCGTCATGGGAAGGGGTGAAACTGGGCTGTTGGCATTTGAGTGTGAATGATGTGAAAATTAGGCTGCAGTTTGGGAGGACACTGTGATCTGAAAATCTGTGGATACAAAAGACCAAGGGAAGAAAACAGAAGTTTGCCTCCTCTCAGAGATGAGAGACAGGTTGTTCTTCTGACAGTTTAAATAAAAAAGAGAAAAATGCAGGTTAAATTAAAGCACAACTTTTGACAAAGAAAAAGATCTAGTTATTGAAGTGAACCTAAAATTGGCATCCCAAGTCCAGTGCTTTTCCCATTGATTTCAATGCAGAATGAGTTTCTTCCTGTCCTAATTTCTCTTACTTCCTGCCTATTAGCAGGAAAATGGCAGCCACCATGGAGTAAGCTCAGAGACATCCACATCCATAGAAAAGTTGAAACTTCAAGAGGTATTTCTTAAACAATGTTTTTTAAACTTTATATATATTCTTTTTGATATATTTATATACCTGTGCAATGTTTGATAGGAAAGCACTGGAAAGTTTTCTTCTCTGATTAACAATTAATGGTAAATGCTTAGCACTTCACGTCTTTCGTAAAATAAAACTTTTTTTTTTCTCTATATCTTTTATAATTATTAACTATTTGAACATTAACTTTGGGGTTTTCTTTAAATCTAGTCCTGTCTCCCATTGTTATGATTCAGCTAAATTGATTCTTGCTTTCTCCACTGGACTTAATTTTTTTTTTAAGCTTCTTTGCAGATATATTTACTATGTAGCTTATCCAAAGGTGAACTTTGCACAACTCAGCAGCAAGAGTGAGAAATCAAACACAGAAAGGATTATATTGCCTTTCCCTAAGCTTTCGACTTGATAAGTTCAGTATGGGACAGATACAGTTTTACTTCTGGCATCCCTGTGTTCATGTGGTTTGTCTCTGGTCTGCTTCATCAACTAATGCACTCCCAATGCTTTTGTATGGATGCTTACTATGGCTCAATATTTTCAGACTTTTTGATGATGGATCTCTTGACTACAGTTATATATCTTTAGTTGATATCCAACAGATTTATTAGAATCAGGGCTGGATTCCTGCCTTAAATGAGTGCTTACCTCAAGGAATGTTTTAGTAAGTGAAAGCTGCACCTCTTTTGCTCAGCGCTGTGTACTGAGATTTCACATTAAGATAAATCTTTCATGTTCAAGGATTTGCCTCTTAATCTTCACTACTTGTAATTTATGAATCTTTGAGCTTAGTTAAAGAAACCCAGATAATTTTACTGTTATTTTTTTAAGTTCATTAAGTCCTGATCCTCTGAGGTGCTAAGTCTTGTGTTTGCTGCAGGGCAGCCTCAGCTCTGCGGGAGTTTACCATACTTAAGCATCTCATAGGACTGAACAAGTGTAAAGCCTGTTGAAATTGATAGGTACTTTTCAGCTGCCTTCAGTGTTTTTTGGACTAAGCTCTTGATTAACTAAATCATATAAAATTATATGGGTTATCCTCTTCTGTATTCTCAGTTTCACTTACTTGACATTATAATTTTGTAGTTTTACTAGAGTTGTTACTTTAACAAGACTATTTCTGCTGAAACTGTTTAATTATACAATGATACTTGAAAAGATAGAATATATCCAGTTCCCAAGTCTCATATTATCTCTTAGGAGGTTCTGTTCATACTTTCTTAAAACTGTGTTATTTTATATAACGGTGGTATAAACAAAACACTGTACACTCTTGAATGTCACTGTTGCCTGCTTGATCTGGTCATTCTAGCATATGTTTGCCTTTGTTTTTCCTCTTGCACTTGTGAGCAATGGTTTCAGACTATATCTTTAATAATTTGTACAGTGTACTGCTGGTGATTTATTTTCCTTCACATGTTAGAGACAGAGCAAGCCTTTCAGAACTGGTAGGCTGTTGTAATAGGCTATATAGATGCATGCCTGCCCATTGCTATCAGTATAAAAATTGAGGGGAGCCCTCACTCCTCATCTGGATTATGTCTGGGAAGTGGGCAGGTAGAATCAATATTACGCCAAATCAAACTCGTTTCACGGTAGTAAGTGGAATACGACACCTTGATCAGGGGTAAGTTATAAACAGATTACAGTGTCATGCAGTTGTTTTGATACCTGCTCAGTTCTGAGGCTTCACTCCTACAATTTTTCTGCACTGCTACTGCGGATACCAGGATGGCTCTTTTACTGTCTTTTGTCGTATTCTCATCCCAGCCAATTCTCTGATGCTTTTTTTGTATGTCTTCTTAGGGATTCTGTGTACTGAAGTTAGATTGATCAGATCAAAGAGTAAAATTTCGGGCGTTGACAGACCACTTTTTGAGTGGTCTAAAGTGATTGTAATGACTCAGTGAAATGGCAGAATTTACTGTAAATGGAATGAAGCGGTGTATGTCATTTCTTTTATTAAATATTACTTTCAGTTTTAGTATCTTCACCCTCAGAAAGGAACTAAGGCCTTACAAATCTGTCCTGATTTAAGTTTTACTGTTGGTAGTGTGTTAGAGCTGTTTTCTTGCTTTCCTAATTCTTCTGAGTAGTAACGTCGCATCTCATGCAGTATGTTGGTGATCAGATTTTTTTTGTGGGAAAATGGCTCATGCATCATATTATTTGTGTGTTTGCACAGGATCTAAGGTGCTTACTCTAAAGAATACTAAATATATTTGACAGTATCAGTGCTTTCAGCAGAGTTGATGAGTCACACGGTTCTCATTATACCTGCAGACTTGTAATGCTTCCTTTGCCACTCGTGACCGACTGCGCTCACACCTGGCATGTCATGAAGACAAAGTTCCGTGCCAGGTGTGTGGGAAGTACTTGCGAGCCGCATATATGGCAGATCATTTGAAGAAACATAGTGAAGGACCAAGCAATTTCTGCACTATCTGTAACCGAGGTAATGAAGAAACTTATTTTTTTATTTCAGTGGGATGGGACAACATTTGAGGGAAGCTGTAAGGCTACGTGACTCTGTCTGCAACAGGAGGAGGTTGTCATACCATTTATGTGTACATATTGTTAGTTTTCCTTATTGAACGCTTAACCGGGAAACTGGTGGGAGCTGTAGGTCTGGCCTTTTTACATGGCTGATAGTTCCCGAAGGAACTCAGTTTGAATTAAATCTATAGATCCCTGTAAAATAACCATGATGTGTTGCCTTGCTGCTATTCGCCATGCATCTTTTGTTTTTTAACTTATACCTGGTTAGACTTCAGTCACTGCATTCAGTTTGAAAGAAGAATCTTTGAAATACACACCAAGTTGAAAATTAGACACTGTATATATATATATATTAAAAAAATCTACATTATGTTATCAGTTTTGCTTAACCTCCTGGTGCAGCAGTAGAGTCAAGCTGCTTCTCCCTCTTAACACAAAAAACTGCTTTGTATTAATGTACATTTCTAAAACAAATCTTGTAAAGAGCACTAGAAATGCACTTTACCTTTATTTCTACAAGTACAGCTTTTCATAGAATCATAGAATATCTCGAGTTGGAAGGGACCCATAAGTATCATCAAGTCCAACTCCCTGCTGTTTGCAGGGCACCCTAAAACTAAACCATGTGACAAAGAGCTTTTGAAACTTTTCCATCTGTTTGTGGTACTCTTCAATTGGAGAGAGTTGTAAATTTAGGCTTTGTGGCTGGAATTTAGGCTGGAAAAATAATTTTGCCTTACTGGTGTTTTTTTTTTTTTAATGATTAATACACACTTCAAAATATATTGTTGGCTCACACAGCTGTACATACCTAGAAAGTGTAGGAAGAGGCTGCTGATCTATTTTGGGATCTTTTTTTTCTGATGAATTTTTTTAATGTTGTTTGTTTCCTTTTCTAATTTAAGAGAGATGAAATCTTCTGAGAGAATAAAGCTGTTCTGTATTTAATATGAGGACTGTACAGGGAGCTTTTGGATGATGAGGAGCTGATGAGTAATGAGAGACATTAAATTGCAAGGGAGGTATTTCCAGTAGTTGAACCGTCCGTCAGGTCCTGAAAGTGATGTTAACAGTTTGATGGAAAAGGCATCTGGGTTAAAAACATTCAGATTTTGAAGCTCCAGGTAGATGGTATGAAATTAAGCTTGGCTTGCTTTTCAGCTGAAGGCCTATCTTCTGAAAAGCTACTTAAGCTTATCCCAATTCTTTTTGTGATAACATGGAATTCGAGATCCAGGTGCTATCCTGCTCTCTGTCAGTTGAACACGGTGCCAAACAGAAGCTCATGTGGGCTGGGAGCGATTGTCTTGGTTCCAAAGAGCTTCAGTTTCTACTTTACCACTGGATGTCACTGCAGCTCTTTGGAAATTCAGCCAGCATGACAAAGGCAGATCTAGCATTCAAACAATGAAATGACTAAATGGTTTGTTCACATGTTACGGGTCTAAATGTACAGTGGAAATGTTAATAAAATGTGTACTTCTCTGCAGAAGGACAGGGAAGCTGTTGTACAGGAAACTTTAAGCAACTACTTTCTTCTTACAGTTTGTGTATTTCATATGTGTTGTCAGAATTTAGTCTGCTGCGAATTTCAGTTTACTTCAACACTTAGCGTAATTGGTGAATGGTGAATTACAGTTAAATAGTTAAATATCTACCTAGAGTTAAAGTTCATCAAAAAGGGAAGCTATGGACTGGATTTATCAAACAACTGTGTTATGAACTCATTGGTATATGCTGTGAATTTTGATTATAGATTTATGATCCATGACAGCAGAATTTTTAATCCAAAGTGTTCCAAAATGAAATTACAGTGTTCACTGTTCTAAACAGATTGTCTTTTAAATTGTTGAGTCTGGCAAGATGAAGTATAGTGGAAAATTTCTGGACTAGAAGCATTCTAATGCCTATTTGATAGGCATTGATGCAGTCAGAAGCTGTGTGCTGTCCGCTGACTGCGATAGTGCCATGGCTGTGGTGCTTCTGCAATGGAATTTTGTTTTATTCTTCCCTCAGCTAACATGCTGGTGTGTTTGTGAACTGAAACTTAGCTAGGTCTGCATATAGTAACTGTCAAGCTCTGGATTAGCAATTGTCAAGCAAGAATACTTAGGCATCTTGTAGAGGTAATTTTGGATGTTGACCCACCAAAAAAAAAAAAAGGTGGATTAAAAGGTGACTCTTGCACAGCTGAATGTACCCTGGTGTTAAGACAGGTCTTAGAACCCCTCAGTTCATCTGCTCAGGCAGAGGGCTTTTCTGGGAACTTCAGCAAGTTCCTATTCCTTTAAAGGTTTAATGGATTTAGGAGATGGAGAACTCAGTACCTGGCTGAAAGCAGTGGCCACTGGTTTGCCATGGCATGAGCGTACCCACTTGCCTACTTTATTTGTTCGTTTATTTTGCAAAATGCGGTATAATGCCCAAAAATTATCATCTGGGATTTGATGTTTTTTCCAGGTTGTTTTCTTACTTAGGGTCCTTATGCTTAGAAAAATTATGGAAGCAATTAAATCTTGTTAAATCAGGGAAGCTGTGCTATGGTGTTTTGGGGTGGTTTTTTTGGTGTTTTTTTTTTTCTCCCTGTGATTTTCTGTTTTTCTTTGAGGTATTTTTAAGAATTCATTTACAATGTGCTTGTGAAAACTAGTCCTTACCTTTTGAGACAAATTCTCTTTAATCAGTTTAAATAAAAAAGACCTGCACCTGCTTTGTTGTTACAATCTGTTACCATCCTTAGGAACTTTATTTCCTTGTGTGGGCTTTTTGAAAGAATTTAAGAGATTAATGACTTTGGCAAATCTAGAACTGGTACTTTGCAATAACATACAACTTAGAAGATTCATTTTCTGTTTCAGACACAAAGGCTTTGTTTGTTTCACAGAAATCAAATGAGTTAGGAGAAGGGGGAATATTCCAATCACAAGTCAGGTGGATTTTTTATTTTTTAATCTTTTTTTTTAACTAAGATGAATTACTGTATATTTCATGGTGAATACAGAGTTGATTTAAGCAAGACACATTCTCCGGATGTTGCAGCTATATCCAAATTAGAATTTTTTAAAAAGGAGCATCCTGCAATTATTTCTGTAGTCTATCTCCTTATAGATCTTATTTTAGAGATTAAGGGATAGGTCCCATTTATATAAAGCAGATCATTTCCTCTCTATGCATGTTTTTATGTTGGTTCCTCTGGTATGAAGAAGTTACCTGCTCTGCAAAGCTGAGATGTGTATGGGTAAAGCAATAATTATATCCCTTCCTTGAAAAATACTGCCCCTTTATCCTCTGCATTAGCCTGACTTTGTTTTTAAAGAGATTTTTAAAAGTAAAGGATTATTGTCTATGAATCCCCCATCTTTCTAGGACAGGCATTCATAATTAAGGTCTGTTGGAAAAAAAAGGCCAGTGCTAAGTGCTTCGGAAAAAAAAATAGGATAAAACCAAACAAACAAAATCTCACTTTAAACAGTTTCCTATGAAGCAGTTGGCATTCTTACTGCTTTGATGGAAGCTGATGACTCACATGTTCATCTGCCAAGTGCATAAAGGGGAGCTGACACACTTTGCAAGCAGTTCTCATTATATAAAGCAATGTACTCTACAAATAGAATTGCAGAGTTCAGAAAAAATACTGTATAGCAGAGATTACAACTTCAGATTTTCCAGTGTCAATTGTAGTGTAGAAAGCACTTTTTTAATGGTCAGCAGTGAGATTTTAATGCACTGCTACATAAAGATGCTTATCTCAGCATACGTGTGGTTACTAGACACGTGTGTGAAATAGAAGTACCTTGTAGTTGGAGGTATCACCATTATATCTGTATGTTGGGTCCTTTTCTCTGCCAGTCAAACACTGGTTCTTTCCATGTTTACAGTGAATTTCTGGTATTTGGAAAAATATGTTTTCTTGTGGCTCAATGAGATATTTAATACAGCATTTTGTGTCTGAGGGTCGTTGGTGCATTATTTCAGAGGATAGTGTCTTTACATCAACTCCCTGGATGACTTGGCCTAGGTGATTCTGCTCCATTGCATTTTGAGTCCTATGTTCTTAGTTTCTTCAGCTGTGATTTATCTACTTTTCTGTACTTTCACCTTCAACTCGGGGGTCTACAGCAACTATCTCGTGTTCATTCTCAGCAACCTGCCCTTTTTCCCTTTCAGCAGGTTGCTGTGCAGTTGTCTTGCTTTGCAGGTCCTATATATATATAATTCTTAATAACCCCATAATATTCATTGATCCTGGCTTCTAAGAAGAGGTTGGGTAGACAGATATTCTGTTGGGTAGGCACAAGGAATTCTGGGATAAAGCCACATTTATTATTAAATTCAGCACCTGAAACTAACAACTGCTGTTAGAAAATTCACCCCAGAGAGGTGTGCCACTATTGGTTCTGCATCCTTCCTAATATATTATTGTATATCATCAAATGTAAGTGCAGTTATATCACTATAAAATGGCTTTACAGTAGTATATCTATTAATCTTTAAGGTCAAGCATTGGTATGAAAGTTCTCTTGCAAGGGCCTGTGCTGTAAATGTTGTATTGGTTCTTAAAAATCTAGGTCTTGGGTTTTCCTATTCAGAAAGGGAACCTGGAACTCAGTATCTGATGGTGAGACTTGTGTTCTCAGGGGAATGTTTCTAACGTGAAAGTGCCATAATATTCTGTTCAAAATTTAATAGAAAATTAAATTGGTTGTTAATAGGCTTACCTGCGTGAGAAGTCTTTAAAACTCTGTCCTCAGATATGGTTCAAATGAACTAGTACTAATTGCAAATCCTATTAAAATCTGAATTCAAAAACATTCCAAAATACATGTGAGATAATTTACTGCATGAAAGGAGAAGGACATACTTGTGAGAATTCAGAAACCATTTTTAAAAAGCACGTGAGCAAATGTACAAAACTGCTTTATTCAGAAACCAGTTGTTTGAAATACATGTTTTTAATTTCAGTCATTTGGGCTACAGATCAGAGCTAATAGAAATACTGACATTTCATTTTAATTTTTTTAACTGCAGACAAAATAGGAGTTTTAGTATGTTTTTTAAAACTAAGGATGAGCTAAACGGAGGAAATGTTTTTCAAAAATTGCTATAGAACAAATCGTGTACCTTAAAAACTCAGTAGTTTTAGCTTTTTGCCTTCTAGGAGTCGCTATAAACACTAGAAACCTAAGGGGAAAGCACACTAAATAGCAAGGAGGAGTGTTACTAAATGGCATAGCTTCAGATCTTAGCAGCATAAAATAAACTAATTTGAACTGTCTTCCTAAGTGTTATCGGATGATGAAGGCATTTTTAATTAAAATAAATAAAACAGCACAAAAATGGTGAAGAGACCTGGATGCCTTTTTGTATCACATCTCTTCTGCCTTTTCTTCCAGCAAGTTTCACATCACCTGCTAGGTTTGCTTACACAGGGTTTGTTTCTCAAGGAGGCTGCTCTTTCATCATGGCTTCCAAAAGGCGAATGAAGTCTAATGAAGGATGCACATTGCATTAATTGTCTGATTATGTCTAGGAATCCTACTTGAGCATGTTGTTGGTAACCAGAAATCGAGCTAGTGTACCGGCAACTTTGTAATTGGGAGTAGGAGCGAGAGAAAGATTAACAGAACAGGGAAGGCAGATGTGTGTCTTTGCTGGTGGCAGGATCTCATCTCCTTTTATCTTGTTTAGGTTTCTCCTCTGCCTCCTACTTAAAGGTCCATGTTAAAACCCACCACGGTGTTCCCCTTCCCCAGGTCTCCAGGCACCAGGAGTCCATCCCGAATGGGGGAGCAGCGTTCCACTGCGTCAGGACCTATGGCATCAAAGGCAAGAGACTCGCTGCTCTGCACCTTGCTGCTCTGTGCAGAACTTTGTGTTTTGGGATGTTGGGCTGGGCATGAGAAAGGGGAGGGAGGAAGGACAGGGAAATACTGGAGAGAAGCTTAGAGAGATGCAGAGAAATCGCATAGCATCACATAGTAATAGCTGTCCTTGGATAGCCAATTTAACAAGTCTGGGAAAGGAGATGAACGTGTAAGAGTGTGTGAATTTTTGGCAGTTTCTTTGATTTGAGAGATTGAAAAAGCCACGTTAGTTCATCTTCACCATCTTCCTAGGAGCAGTCAGCATTAGAATTTTGCCTGAGGGGTGCAGATCCTTACAGTTCCTTAGTCCTGCTATACTTGAATCTCTCAGCCAACTGTCAAACTGTGTTTCTGATTTCTGGTGAAGGAAGGAGGAGCTGCAGAATGCAGTTCATAATGGTTATTGAGCGGTGAAAGCAATATTCATCCTCAGGTTGATGAGGAGCCATGGAAGTACCTGTACTTAAAGTTACACTTCTTCATGCTGTTGCTGGGGAGCAGAGGTAGAGGGTGATAATAGTGATGGTTTTTGTTGTTGTTGTTTTTTTAACCTGCATTTAACTTCTGTGGGGAAAAGGAAAAGATATTGTAAGAATAGATAAGGAGTAATTAACTTCTGAAAAGGTAGAGCTGTGTGTTAATCTATGTAGAATAGCTTGCTGTTTGCTTCTTGGTTTGAGCTGTCAGTATTCCTGGTGAAGCTGAAACATCAGAAAATTCTTCAAAACCATGGTCGTCCCGGAAAGTTGTGGTTTTTTTCTTGCCCAGGAGAACACAGTAGGCTTACCCAGGTTAAACAAAGTCTGTGTCAGTGGAAAGCTACAGTTGTGTAATTTTTTTCTGTTAAAGTCCTCATAGAGTTACTACAGAAACCCGTTGGTTTTGGGTGGTGTGCTGACTTAACAAGAGATTTACTCCAGCGCAGCGGTGTGTTGATTTCATGCATATCCTGTTTGGTTTGTAATGCCGCGTCCAGAGCAAATCTGTCTTTTGGGTTGTGCCAAGTGGTTCATTGGTCTTTTAGAGTTAATAGTAGATACGGCTTATTTGTATTCAGAGAGTTGTCTAGGGAGTACGTCTGGGTTTCCCACGCTCATTCATATGCGCTGAGCAAAAAGTGTGGACAAACTTTCTTGGCGTGCTGCCAGAGGAGACCGGGGAACACTCCAAACATACCAACGGCTTTGCCAGGACGTGTATCCAGATAACGTACAACAGTGTCCCTAACCTCTCTCCTGTTTCACACTACAGCATTTAAAGATGGAACAGTTTTACATTATGAAGTTCACTTCTAACAGCGTTGTTCTTAACTTGTAAAAAAGAGCTCCTCAAAACTAAATGGAATTGCATCTCTTAAATCGCAGTAGCTCACTGCTGTTTTGTTGAGTATTCCAGATTTCGTCGCATCTTGCTACAGCCTGTTGTACTTTATTAGGTTTCTAGGCTCTCCCCCAAAGTACGAACAATATTTCGGAAGTGTGGGAGTGACTTGCACAGTTAAAAGCTCATCATTAGGTCCATCCTTTTGTAGTTCTTGAGGTACAGACGTTGTGAGACATCTTTGGGTTTCAAGAAAGTATTATATAAACCAGAGACCCAGTATGGGTCCATTCAGTATCATGACAAATCCGTAATAAAAAGCTGGTTGTTGCTCTGATAGCAGCCTGGTGCTTTGTAAAGAGGACTTACGGTCAAGGGCTTTAGGACATGAGGGATTGTGATGATGTGTATCATTCTGTCATGACAGGCGTTAATGAAATCAAGTGGTAATCAATATAATCTATTTGAATGCATGTTAAATATTTTTGGGGAGGTAAGATTCTGAAAACTTTCCTCTCTTCTTTTCCCATAGAAGGCCAGAAATGTTCACATTCGGACCCGATTGAGAGTTCTGATTCGTACGGAGACCTCTCTGACACCAGTGACCTCAAGACTCCTGAGAAACAGAGCACAAATGGGTCCTTCTCGTGCGACATGGCAGTCAGCAAAAACAAAATGGAGACGGAAGGAGAAAAGAAGTACCCGTGCCCTGAATGTGGCAGCTTTTTCAGATCAAAGTCTTATCTGAACAAACACATACAGAAAGTTCACGTCAGAGCCCTTGGTGGCCCATTGGGGGATCTCGGTCCTGCTCTAGGATCCCCCTTTTCACCCCAACAGAACATGTCTCTCCTGGAGTCATTTGGGTTTCAGATCGTCCAGTCGGCATTTGCATCATCCCTAGTGGATCCAGAGGTCGACCAGCAACCAATGGGGCCAGAGGGGAAATGAGATCAATTTGATCTTGACAAAGCAAAGCAGCAGTCTGGCTATAATGATAAGATGCTGTGAATGAAAGAGGAAATAATGAAATTTGGTTCTATAGATGACAATTTTTTATTCGTTTTAGCTTCCCTCTTTGTCTCATGCCCTACCCCACCCTTAAACCTTCACTGGGGAGAGGGAGAAAATGCTTCTTAGCTGATAAATGACAGAAGATGGTGACCTTGAATAGGAGACAGGACCTAAAACACCAAATGGAGCTTTAGATGCTGCTGCTGGCGTTTCGTCATGATCTTCTAGAATAAACAAAAGTTGCCAGCACTGGTCTGAGAATTAGACAGTCCTAGTGACCGAGGCACCTGGGGAGCTACAGCTACAGGAGCTATGCTTTTGTTCTCTCTCCATTCCCCACCTTCCCTAACCTACCCTGGAAAAACAGTAAGTTTTAAAAAAAGACCCATTATTGAATATAACATTAAGTAAAATGCCCCGTGGTACCTAGCAGGTTACAATGCAGTTGTCCTTTTAAAACCAGAAAAATTTAAAGAAGGTGAGAGAATTTGAACCCCTTCTGCCATTTGTGAGGCTGTGAGTGCTGCAGCAGGACTGACCTGCTGAGAAAAATCACCATTCAGAACAGGTTGTTTTTGTTACTTTTAACCATTAAACTTGCTGTCAGGTTTTTAATTCTCTATTATTGTTATTTTAGGACCTGTTGTAGTGAATTGCTACTGAAAAGCCAGTCTAAGGCGATATACAGAGCACTCTTAAAGCAGCAGTCACATTAGGGTTAGTATTAATTTTTTTTTTAGATGTACCATAATTAATAACTTGGCTAGTTGATTTGTTTTAAGTCTATGAAAGAAATAGTTTTATGAAAAAAAAAAAAAGAAAAAAAAAAGAAGGTAAACTACCATTGCAGTCTGGTTGACTGGTGCTCATTTTTCATGTGGGGACCTAGGGTATAAACATGATCAGCTATCGGGTTAACACTATGTACCACTGACTTGTTTAGTGTGAATAAACCCAGGGGTTCACAGAGCGATTTTGGTTTAATTGGATTGGACTCTATTAAAGAAGTTAGTATGTTACTTTGCATCCCCTCGTTTTGTCTGGTTTTTGAGCAATTTAGCCACCTGTCCAAAAGGTGTGCAAATGAGAACCAGTAAGACAGACATTAATCCCACTCTACACTACTGTATTCTCAGTGAGCTCGGCTTTTTGGCTACAGTCGTGCTCTTCTGATCTGCTTCTAGTCAGATTTGCAAAAGCCAGTCTTACTTCTTTCTTTTCCAAAGAAGAAAGGTTTCTACTGTAAGAGTTGGGAATTGCAAACAGCATATCTCTGAAAAAGGAATTGATTACAAAATGCAGATAAGCTGGGCTCTAGGCTGTTGGAGGTTCCATTTATTCTGAAAATATCACTTGTGCCCTTTCTTGACCCTCCCTTTCCTCCCATGTAACTTGTCTTATGTACCAAATCCAGGTATATATGTTTAACACAGGGTTAGGAGTTAGGAATACTCTGAGTTGTAATTATGGTTCTGCTGTTGATGCTCAAGGTCACATAGGACAGCTCCCTGAATTTGATCTTTAATTTCCATCTGTGAAGAGTTTTCTCTACATCACAATTGTTGCGAGGGTTAACGAGCAAAGGTTCAAGCAGTGATTTGGTCAACTTAAGTTGCTATGTATATTGAATGTTTCTAGAAAGGCCACTCTGAAGAGCCCAAGTCCCCTGCCAAACTTGCATTCAATGGAACAATAGCAATCTCCATCACTAATACAGTGCTGGAGCGGGATCGACCACCTCAGGCCAGGACCTACCTCCTCTGCAGGAGAAATGTCTGAATGAAATGTGAACATAGCCACAAACTGCTGTTGCGCTACAACTTGTGTTGCCCAGGTGCTCTTGATTCAAACCCTGCAGCTAATGTGTAACTGAAATAAAGACACATTCCTGTTTTGTTCTTGTTAGAATGATAGAGCCTTTTGTAAGTATATAGGTTTTGTAATGACGTTCCAAATTCTACAGACTTAAAAGCCCCAGCTTCTCTCTTGTAAGAAGCTACTTTTTTGTACTTGCTCTCAAGTATTATAAACCAAGGATGAATAATCAATGGCTTTCTCTTTATAGCACCAGCACTTTCTAAATTGAGAGCATGTTGCAGTGGACTTGATGTTTTGCAATTAATCTGTGTTGGGAGACTGAAGGACGTGTTCTTCTCCATTCATCTTCCACCAGAATCCCTGGAATAGGTATGAGTCTCATTTAAAAGGGAAAAAAAAAACAAACCAAACCCAAGCCCAAACCAACCCACCTTCAAAGTAAGGAATTGCTATTGCTGTACTGGTAAGCTTAGTTTACAAGTGGAAACAAGACATTTCAGAAAGGTGACAAAACATTTTAAAAATACCTTACAAATCTAGACCATGATGAGACAAACTTGTAAGCTACCAAGCAAGTCAAGATAGAGCAGGCTTTCAGTCAGTGTAACAATTCACTGGGATTAGCAACTGCAACTGCAGTCACTCTGATTTACTAATAGCTTCTGTTGGAGCCACCAGGAAAATTTCTGTTGAATTGAGGCTGTATTCTGAAAGATCTAAGAGGTTTGTGTCCCTGATGTTCCAATATACACTCAAAGAGGGTGCGCTAGTCATAAAATTCAACTCCAAAAATAGGCTATTTGCATCTTACATTTAGCTCCACGACTTTAGTGTTACTAGTGGGTTGAATTTTGGCCACACGTATGTGCATCAGAATGCTACAGAATTTGACCTGATGAAACAAATGAAAAGGCTTGAACTAAAAAAGAAGCCTCCTAAAACACTAACTGTGCATTTTGCTTGTCAAAGAAAATGCTTACTAAGTTGTCATGAATACATTGAATGAAAGCTACTTACTTCTCAGTCTAGTGGACAGGGAAACAATTAGGCGGGACGTTAACAATCCTGAAATGGCAGTTCTAGATCATCCTAGTGTAGATGGGAGAGATTTGCACCAACGCAAGAGACTGGTACAGACGAGTGCCAGCAGTAGGTTGGGTGGATCTTTAGCAGCGTTGTGTTTTCAGAACTTTCTGTGTCTGTGAGGGCATATTGTTCTGGTCTGGGTAGTAGTTTAATCTACATGCAAATTCTTTATATTCCGCTTCTCATCAAACAGAAGACAAATCCCAGCAGAAAACTCAGCATAGTAAGTTCAGAGTTCAAAGGGAAATACTTAACATGCCCTGAGCTGCAACATCACTTAACTTGTTTCTGTTACGTTTTTAATTGGCTTATCAGTGTATAGACGATAGTTCTCATTTTGGGCCAGCCCTCCTTACTTTGTCATTGTATTTGGTGGGACTGCAATCCAGTGTTTGGTCAGTGCACTTCTCTGCCAAGAAGAGAACTTTGATTCTTAGGAACTTTGATAAGAGTTGTCGCATTTCTTTGTGTTATAGAAGTCCTTAAACTCCTCAACTGAGGCTCAGACCCTTGTGTATTAGGTATCATGAAAACATCTTCAAACATTTATAATCTAAACATTAAAGATAGACAAGAAAGGAATAGATGCTTATAGGTGAATGAGTGAAATATAGATGAAGGACTAAAAAGTGCTTGCATGCATGCTTACGTGTTGTGTTGAATGTAGGGACACAGACTTATCATTGGGCTGCTTCTGTTGCCTGAAGTAATTTTTCTTCTTGTACTGTTAATCCACAACAAATGCAAGGTAAAACAATTTAATGTGAATTTATTCCATACTGAATTAAATTAAGTGACATTACCTTGCATTTGTCATGTGCTAAATGTGTGCAAACAGGCTTACTAGTGCGGCTCACCTGATGCGTGGTCCTGTGGTGCGTGTGAGCTCTCAATCAAAAAGTTATTTGCCCATTATGACATGGGAAATTGATAGCAGAACCAGAAATTGAACACAGATTTTTCCTTCTCTCAATCCAGTGCCTTAACTATAATAGGGCGAAGTATTATATGTTGGGGGGATGATTGTTTTGTTTGTTTTTTAAAGCCTAGAACTGTAAGGTGGTGTGGAGTTGGTCTTCCTACCAATCTTTTGAATAATAGCAAATGCCCAGTCACAATTTTAGACCTGTTTGAGTGCCAGTGACTTAGGGAATATTTGTTATTTCCCACATATTCCCTGAAATTATTGTTCCTCCCTCAACTGCTGTCAGCAGTAAGGAATGACTTGAAGAGCTGTGTAACTGAATGTCTATCTAACTCAGCTAATTGAATTGATAGTATGAAAGCTAACCTAGATTTTGTAGGCTCTGTTGTAACTTTAGTGTCTTGTTTTTTCACTAAATCTTTGTTCCTAGAAATCAGTATCTGAATTTATGTCTTGAGTCTGGAGTGGGGTACCACTTTCAGCTTTAATTTTTTTAAGGTGCTTGCTTGAGGAAGTAGATGCCAAAGTAAACTTCAAAGGAACTCCAGACTTCAGTGTTGGAAGAATGAATGGAGAGCAAGTGCTCTCTTTGGGTTTCATGAGAGATAAATGGACAGTCAAAAACAGCTGTCAAAATTTTAAGTAACAAACCAGGAAAGGCTTTTCTGTATCACCCACAAAAAAAAAATCAGGTATTTTCAATTGTTCGGCATGGCAGAAACTCTGAGAGCAAGTGCCAAACCAAACCATGGAATGCATTGGCTTTTTCAGCATTATGAATATACCTTAACAGCATTATGAGTATCTTACTGTAAATTAAGCCAGCTTTGTACCATTCACCTTTTGCCTGGGCACAGTACCTAAGTTTTAATTGAATAGAACATAAGCTCACAGTGAATCTCTTGAGTTTATGCTCTCAATTCCACCCTGAGAGACAAAACAAATAAGCAAAGAGGAAAAAAAAAATAATAGGAGAGCTTAAAAGGGAAAACAGATTCTGGAAGATTCCCATGTGTCCTCAGAGAGTCCCATTTTTTATCCTGAACATCCTTTTCAAAACAAGATCCTTCAGCTGTTGTGAATGAGCCTTTGGGAACAGATTTGGCTT